GCGAACGCGGGCTTCCTTTATTCAACCGTAAAAAGTAAGATATATATGTATATAACTTATTTTTTACGTTTGCATTGAACTTCGATTTGACATTGGTTATATAGAGGAGCTCGACAAATTAATTTTAAATGCGAGAAACAGATATCAGCAAACGCTATCTAGCGACAGTCTTGTAATTATTCAGTAAAAGACGAGTTTAATTTTCTAAAAATGGTTGACTTTAAGTCGACTTACAGTCGACAGTTAAAGTTGACAAAAACCAACCTAGAAATAGACGGCTTAATGTCGACTTTAATAGTCGGCTTTAACTTGATTGAAAAAAGTCGACTATTAGCCGGCAAACAGCCATTTGTGCTGTGTGGGAAGCTAAATAGTTATCGATCGTTTGATAAATTACAATTAAAGTAGGTATTAATTCATGATTCTTTTATCAATCTTGTGTTTTTAATTATTTTTATTCATAAATTGAATAGTTTAGAAGGAGATACTATTAATAAAACTCACAGGTACGATTTAGGCAACCAGTTTGCTGAATCGTGCTTTTGACAGCATATGTCACAAAAAAGCTTAGAACAAATTAATTTGCTATTAGGGAAAGATTTAACATGTAATATTAGATGTCTTGAACATCAAGCTATAATTTCCAATGTTCGTTTGCATTCTAAATCGTACCAAATGTGAAATATAACAAAATAAAAATATCTTAAATGGTACGCATTCGGCAACTTTCTTCTATATATTTATAGATACAGATTTCATTTATTTAAAATTGATGTTAGCATAATCTTATGAAACTTTTTAATATTTGATCTTGTACATTTTATTAAATGAGCTGCTTTATAGAAGATGATTTAAAAATAATTGAGTTTCCAGAAGTGTGCGCGATGATTAAAATGAGTTTGGATGCTAAAGATGTTATATAATTATCCGTTTGGAAATTTGATCTGTTACGCCCTTAACTATTCATCAAATCAAATGTTTTGATTGGTAATTTCGATGTTTGATTCATATCGGCTCGGATTTATATTAATAATTATCCCGAGCGAACATAGTCACGTTCTGTCGCTTAATTGCGATTATGTGTCGGTAACTTTCCGCGCGCAACAACTCCAATATAGCGCCATAAGAAAGAAATGAATTCTGAGAAGTTTCAATAAGCTATTTGCTAGCTCGTGGCCAAGTTATATTACGGCTTTTCTAATTTTAAACGAGCGCAGTTTGTGCGACGTTTATGTGTTAAAAACTTTTAATATACAATATGGTTCTAATTATTCTGTAATATCCGAAACATATAAATAAATAGCGAACATTTCTAAACACGATTTATGACGGAGTTATAAATAATTTATAAACATAACAAAGTTATGTTATGATTCATTGAATTTAAAATTCAAATTATTTACGGCTAAACAATATGATATTATTAAATTTTAACTTTTAAAGTATATTTATAAATTTGTAAACTTCGATATGTATGTGTACATATAAAAGTAAATAGATAAAAACTTATATATTGCGTGTAAAAATATTGAAATTTTGTTTTATTGACAATTTGGGTATAACTAACGTGTCATGATCAATGAATTTTAATACCGTCCTATTTTTATTTGCGGAAAATAAATGCCGTCGCTCCGTTAACGATTAACGGAAACTGTGTAATAACGTGGTGAATTGTGTCGATATATCGACAGCGAAAAACTGATGGCTATTAAGCAGTCACCCGCGGAAAGCCAGATAAATTATTTTACGGAAAGCCAGATAAAATGGTTTAAACGTGCTAAATAATATTTTAGAGATGTAAATACAGATACAAAAAAATAATGTAAATAACCGAATACATCTTTCTACGTAAGAGAGAGAAAGAAAGAGATCTATTGATATCTGTGATTGAATACATAATCTATTGTATCTAATTAAAGAATTGACTTTTTTTATTTACATGATCGCAAATCATGCAAATTATATTTAATTTAGCTTTTTATGAATAATTGTATAGGTTGTCCCATTTTAATGTCCCACTCCTAATAACTTTTTTATTTTTGATCTTAGAAAAAAATGTTTCAGACAAAAGTTGTATGGCTTTGAGGGGGGCATAAGGTGGTGTCATTAGTATGATCTTGAATAGTTGCTCGAAGGTCATGTGAAGATTACCTTCAATTTCTTAAATGGAACCCTCTACTTTTTATTGTACATTCTTGTAGATCATCTCGAGAGCTTTCCAATACACGTATGTAGATAAAATGTTTTGGTTAAGTAAATCTCGAGTTATAAAGCTTGA